CATTAGCACAAAATACTCAGTGCAACGCAATAAATGCATCAAATAAAACTATATTCTACGATCTGTCGACATGTTCTAAGTGAAAGCTTTGTGAGTATTTTGCTATGACTCACACTTTCATCTAAAATCTATCTCCGATTGATATTAGATGAACCAAACCTTGTCTCGGTCATTGTTTCGTGCGAGGCAAGAATTTACGGACATACTCGACACATTTAACATGAATACAACTCACATCATCCACTCGCTAATGTGACTTTGATGTACGCTGTCCCCGGAAGGCAGCATAAAAAAATTATGATTGAGCACTTATTTATTGGCTTCCCAAGATGCTGGTATGCCTTCAGTGGCATTCGGTCCTTATGTTGAGCATAACGAGAATCCCCGAAATCAATCTTTTCACCATTACTGAGTATCACGCGATACTTCTTATTGATGAGAGTTTGATAAAATAATAACCTGATCAGAAGCAAATGAATACTTAAGCAGGTTCATTAATAACGATTTACCTGATCCACCTTCACCATAAAGCAAAACCATGAAATCAAATTTGTCATTCAGCCTAGTCATTAGGCGACCAATCATGAAATAGATAAATTCAATAGTCTCGTCATCGAATTGGAACTTGAGATATTGATCAAGTAGCGGAGCATAGTCATTATCGAGCTCAAACTCTGAGTCAATGTATGTTCGAACCTGAATATTCTCTTTAATATCAGCAGTCAAAATAAACGTGGCATTAGATAGATCGTAGATACCATTGCGGAATCCAATGTAGTTGTAGTCAAGCTTAATGAACTCAAAGTCCGGGTTGATGATGTTCTTGATGAAGTAGAGTAATTGCTGATGATCTTGCGACTTGCACATATGAAACAGAGGCTCATCAGCAAATACTGCATTTAGAAACACAGCCGGATCATCGTATTTACGAACATAGTAATATGGAAGCAAATTCTCATAGATTGCTCCAGTTTGAAATTCACGCTAATACTTGTCTTTGACGCTCTCAATCAGCTTCTCCTTAACAATATTTAATGGTCTTCTCTTTTCCCTATCTTCATTCTTTTCTTTGACTTCTAGTGGTTCATACTTCGCTTTCCATTCGTTGTATCCATCTGGATCGGTCCCTCCAACAATAGATTGAATTTGGGATTCAGTTAGCTTGGGGTAATACTTGGATGTTTCCCAATCATTAAACACTTTCAACGCAGCGGCCTGATCAAATCGATCTGTCATTGTATAGAGAATGCACAAGTATGTCTTCCGCATTAAGCCAAGATCGATGTGCTGCTTGCGATATAGCACACCAGCCAAGTTCCAAGTATTATTGTTATCACAATCTCTTCATCATGCAGCATAGTTTGTAGACGCTGATCATATAGCTCATTTGCCACACAATATTCTACAAGATTAAGTTTCTCATAAAGCCCTAAGAAGGTCTCTTTGTCCTCATCTGATTTGAAGTAGATACGCTTACGCAAGGTTACTTTGCCATCTTTTCGATTTTCAAGTTGGAATGGTGAGATATAACCCTGACTGAATAATACTTGTGGATCTGCATTCTTAATGCTTTGATGATCGATTTGTAGCTCCTTCGCAAGTGAGCGCCAAGCATCGGTTACTTCAGAAAACTTCAGAATGTCGTTATTCCCGTATTCAAGTCCATAAGTATCCCAAGTAGTGCCCTTAGCCTCTGCATCAGCTCTAGTCATGACTTTTGGCTTGGCCTTACGCTCCTTCATTTTGCGTTCAAACTGATCAATTACCATAGAATCACGCTTGAGTGTGCTTTCGATATCCTTGCCTTTAGCATTTTTTTTGGTATGAGCTTCAACGAATTTTTGCAAGGCATCGATTTGTTGCTGATCGAGAACAAGGTTCTCAGCTTCTGCAATTTCGTCACGATTTTCAAGATAATTTACAGAAACAATAAGATATGCCCATCGTCTCAACTGTGCCTCGGTCGGTTTAATGACCTCAGTATCTGTCGAGGTCACTTCATTCTTAGAGTCATCCGAATTATATAATTGTTCCGAATCTGAATTATATTCCTCCTTATATACCGCGCTATCCGCGATCATCGGTTCGACAATCGACTCATCCACATTTGGAACTTCACTTACTTTGACATTCGAGGCCTCGACGGGTTCGATCACCGATGGCGCTGGTGTACCAACAACCTCAGCGACGACTGGGGTATTGACTTGTGGTGACATTTCTTCATATTACTCTCCACGACAATACTTTCCCGATCCATAATAATTGGATGCTTGCCGCAGCGATCCTTGTTGCGAGCTGGCAAACACTGTTCTCCGTTCTTTTTGATAAAGTTGCACATCGTTATATTACTAAAGTTATATTTTTATACGTCGCTCAAGATCATAATTTTTTTATGCTGCCTTCGGGGACAGCGTACCCCAAAGTCACATTAGCGAGTGGATGATGTGAGTTGTATTCATGTTGAATGTGTCGAGTATGTTCGTAAAAGTCTTGCCTCGCACGAAACAATCATCTAATATCAATCGGAGATAGATTTTAGATGAAAGTGTGAGTCATAGCAAAATACTCACAAAGCTTTCAGTTAGAACATGTCAGCATCTCATGATTATTTTGTTCAATCAGATCATGAATTCATCAAATTGTAGCAGCAGAACCGCATGAAATCCATGGCAGG